TCATTCTACTTCTGCTTTCCCCACAAATACTGAAACCAACTCCAGAGCACTGATGTATCTCCCTTTAGAGCCAGCCAATACTGCTCTTTCAGCTAGAAAGAGGTTTACTTGAATGATAATATCTGTTCTCCCAGCCTTGAAAGCACCTTTGTCCCATTCTAATACATGCTAACATTAGAACACTAATGCTTCGTTCTATTCTTTACGGGATTCTGTTTTACTACCCTGTGCCATTTTTTTTTGCCCCTCCTTTGGTCCCACTTTACATTGTAGAACTGATGAATGAAATTGTTTTTAATTGTTCACTTTATTAATGTAACTTCATAAGTAAAGTTTTATGAACGAAACAACCTTTTATTCATAAAACCGGTTACCCCAATAACTGGCTAATTGACAATTAAGATGCTTGTTAAGAGACATAGCTGTTCAGCCAGTTGGCCTTGTAAGTTTCACTGTCAATCCAATTCCTGCTTAAATCACTGAGACTTGCACTGTTTCAGTATTGTAACTTCTGTTCACTGTTTGCCATCCACTACACTTGTCTATATTGGAACTTCTGTTCACTGTTTGCCATATTGTAATTCAAACCCCATTTTAAAACGCTTACTCCATTTTGTAAGCTTGCTGCAACCTTCATTTTTGCAAAACCCTGCTGTAATCTTATTAGTTTAGTTTAGATGTATGAATGAGGTATGTATGGATGATGGACTCAACCTCCAGCACCAGCCTGTCCTGATGAAATAAAGTTCAAACTCCAAGGGCTGAAGATGCAGACAAGAGCCCTAACAAAGTAAGAAGAGTCCACCCTAAAAAGAAAAGAACAAAGGTACAATAGAAGGAAGATCAAAGCCAGGTCCGAGGCTAAAAGTCATGCCTGCAATTGACGGGTGATCAATCACCAAACCCAGAGGCAGCATGACACAGCAAGACCTATAGACTCTGGATTCAAACTAAAGCCTACAAAAAAGGATGGGTGAGATGGAAGACTTTGGAGGGTAACATTCTGCTGCCAACATGGAAGGGCATCAGTGCATGCCCAACAGAGACCCAGCCCTTCCTTGTGCCCGGCTTCCCTGGCCAATTAGCTGCCACAAGCTACGAACCCAAGCTACGAACCCAAGCCACAAACCCAAGCTACATTCAGGACTGGTAACTATCTAGCAGCTGCAGAACATTTGATGTGTGTGAATGTGTGTCTGTATATACATAGGTATTAGATATTAGTTATTGGTCATAAATCAAATTGTGTCATCATAATAAACGTGGCATTTTTGTCTTGCCCCCGAAACGATCCTGTGTAGTTTTGTCTACAAAACAACATGCCCCTGTGGTCCATAACACTTTGTGAGCATGTCAATTTTTGGTGTAGGATTGTGGGTTTCCTATATTTACTATGTTTGTACAGTGCCTGACACAATGGCCAACCTGGTTGAGGCCTGTAGGCGCTACTGGAATATAAATAATTGTTCCCTGCACCCATATATCCTCTGCCAGTTAATGCCACATATGGTATGCAATCATGCCGCACAAAGCAATTTACACCATCCGCCTGAAACTAACCATCTTTGTCAGTGTTGATATCATACTCCAACTGAGAATGTGCTATGTACCAGAGTACCAGCATGTTCTGCTGCTATTAGTGAAGAAAGGCCAGCAAGTAATTTCTGTCTTCCACCCAAACATCAGAGGGTGCCCATATTGGCCAAACCGGACAGTCTCTACACAAAAGAATAAATGAACACAAATCTGACATCAGGAATCATAACATTCAAAAACCAGGAGGAGAACACTTCAATCTCTCTGGCCATTCAGTAACAGATTTAAAGGTGGCAATTTTGCAACAGAAAAGCGTCAAAAACAGACTCCAACGAGAAACTGCTGAACCAGAATTGATATGCAAACTAGATACTATCAATTTAGGCTTAAATAGAGACTAGGAATGGCTGAGCCATTACACATATTGAATCTATTTCCCCCATATAAGTATCCTCACAGCTTCTTGTCAAACTGTCTTAAATGGGCTAGCTTGATTATCACTACAAAAGTTTTTTTTCTCCTGCTGACAATAGTTCATCTTAATTAATTAGCCTCTTAGAGTTGGTTGGGCAACTCCCACCTTTTCATGTTCTCTGTATGTATATAGATCTTCTCACTACATGAATAGTACAGTGAAACTGTCAAAGATCAAGTCAGTTCAAGCAGCTTTTGGATGAAGCTCTATGGACAGGAGCAACAGCAACCACAGTTCCTGAGGTACTGAAATGGAAGAGCAGGTCCCCACAGTACCAAATCACACCCATCCCCTCTAGAAATCATATAGAGTACGTTATTTTCATAAACTGAGCAGGTAAATTATTTTAAACTTTCAGCAATTTCTCTTTATGAGAGGACAGGACACCATAATGACTTACACAGATGCAGACCTTCTCGATCATCTATGTTTTTAAGAAAGTTTTTGATGGGTTACTACAAGCCTGTTTATATCAAATTAACACTTATTTGATACTTTTTTAAAAAAGTTAAAGCACTAGAGCTAAGCTTTGCAGACAACTGCAGAACATGCACTACTTTTTCTTAAGTATTTGAAAAAGTATTATAGATACTTAAGACCTAGGGGGAAAAGAAACAAAACAAAAACAAAAGCAAAAAAAAACACTCAAGGAGACCACCCAACTACTATTCCCATTACTGTTAAAGAGAAGCTTCCAGCATATGTAGAAACATGAATTTTTTGTGTGACTCAATAGTGGTAATGGAATGAGAATTGGACCAATAGTAATGTCTTTATATAATGAGAATGACGGTACTTATACAAATACCTTTCATCTAAAGGGATCAAAAAACAATTTACAGCTATATACAGGAACCTCTTCAATCACAACTGTAGCCTACCCTCGTTAAAAGCACGACAGTCTGATGGCACTGAACAACACTAACCATTTAGGACAGGAAGAGAAAAATATTTCAGCCCACTAAAATAAGAAGGTTTCAGAGTAGCAGCCGTGTTAGCCTGTATCCACAAAAAGAACAGGAGTACTCTCTAAGGTGCCACAAGTACTCCTGTTCTTTTTGTAAAATAAGAAGGAATTTTAGGTAAGCAAAATTTAAATTACCCAAATTGTGACTTAGCGAGGACAGCAAGACTTCCCTGGCAAGTCTGTATTTCGTTTTGGTCATTATACTTCAAAAGACACAGGAGAAATAGAAGAGGTCTAGAGAGGTAACAAATGCTTAGAAACAGAAAGAGCCTTCCATACGAAGAGACTGAACTATTTAGTTCAGAGAGGAGAAAGGAGTATACAAAATACTTAATAGCTAAAATACAGCACATCAGGCACTCCTGTTCATTGTCTCATAATACAAGCCAGGATAAACACCGAAATAGAAAAACAGGAATTTAACACAGATAAAAGGAAACTTTTTACACAATGCATAATTAGCATATATCATCCACTGTCACCAGATATGTCAAGGCCAACAACTGAACAGGATTAAAAAAAGAGGACACTAATTTGGATCCAACTATCCACAGTTCCATTAGATTGGATAAAAATAAAATTAGGGATAAAGTTTCATGCTTCATGGCTAAGGCAAATACTAAAAAGCTAGTGTTATGAAGACACTTCCTCTATAGGCACGTTGTGCCACAGTTTACATTCAGTTAATTTTCTTGCACCTTCCACTGAAGCACCCAACTAAGTCAGAGAGAGGCTCCCAAACCAGAGCCCCCCAGATACATTCAGTTAATTTTACTGCATTCACCAGATAGGGGAAAAGGAAAAATAAACCACATGACTGTAGATTTTGAACATTAGAATAGAGCATTGAGAGACAGGACAACCAAACCATCAAGCAATTACAAGCAGAACTGTACAAAGGACAATGTTCTGATGCAGGACCTAAACAACATCAACGTCCCTAAATTGTTTTATTTTAAATGCAAATGTACCACCAATCCACTTAATCCTCTTCTCACTTATTTTAAAATGTGATTTATATTTGGCCAACCTCGTTTGGTACCTTAGTTTCATGATTCACTAATTATATTAATCCTACATTATTTAAAGATTGCTTTGCCTTACTTTTGGGTAGGCTGAGCCACATGCCTACCATCTCTTGGAAATTGTACATACATGGGCCCCAAATAAGCAAAAAGTATTTTCTGATTTGGTCATCAAGATTTTTCTAAAGAAGTCTGGTGAAAAATGCATTGCTGCGTTAAGCATAAGTGACTCAAGGCATTATCAATTCCCAAAGATTATCGCATTGGGAGAATTCAAAGGAGGAGCCTAAGAGGCATGTCTAAAGAGAAAGGCCTCGCCTAGGAATTGCAACATATCGTCTGCCTATGTTGTAACTGCTAAATGCTCTGTTAGATACATGAAGATTAGGTGTTACTTGTACAACAGACACTCACTGTAAGGGTGTCATCTATGTAGAGAGGGATCTGCCTCTTTTCGAAGGGAAATTCCTCCTCCCCGTCTCTGCAAACTGCAGCCAGCCGCGCCATCTCTGCTGTTGCTGCTTCCTCCTAGCTTCAGCCTGCAAACAGCCAAGCCCCAGAGAGGTAAATAAGAGCTCTGCTTCTACAAAACACTTTCACCAGCAGGGAAACGAGCCTGCTTTATCGGGTCGCCTGATTCAACACACTAGAGTGTACATTAAAAATCTCAGCTTTCCAGGCACCAATACAAAAGACACCCTCCGCCCAGCCCACACCCATTTTCCGTAGTCCGGTCACTGTTTCTGGGTCTGGAAGAAACGGAGATGGAGAAGAGATGGGACTGAAGGTGTAAAGTCTGGGAAATGCGACACAGCAGGTGGGAGGGGACAGTAGGACTAGGGAGGAGTCCAACCTTGACCCTCTATCGGGGTATGACCAAGCCAGGGGGAGGCACTGTGGCTGAACATGGAAAGTCTGTCCAGGCCTATCAACCCCCTTCCCGTGGGATCACTACGAGGGGGGAGAAGAATCCGCCCGGGCTGTCAACGGGCCTTAACTCTCAGCCCACTCGGGAGGGGGGAGCGGGAGGATCCGCCCATCGCTTGGTGGGGTTCAGCCCCTGCTCGGAGGCGGTCAGCACCGTGCAGAACCCGCCCGCTCTGGGCATGGGGTGTCGCGCAGCCAGCGCGCTTCCCTGCGCGGCGGTTATGTAAGGAGCAGAGCGGGGGGGAGGTTCCTGTCTGCTAAGCACGGACCCGTCCCCTCCATCGGGCCTCTTCTTCCGAGCGCGCCGCCGCCCCCCTTGGGGGGCACCGCGAGCGCAGCCCCCGCCCCCTTAACTGCCCCCAGCCGCGTCCCCGCCCCGGGGCCCAGTCGCTTCCTCTGCACGCCGGGGACGAGAGGTTGCCTGCGGCCCACGCGTCCCACCCACCCGCTCAGGCAACTCCCCGGCCTGGGCAGCGCAGACCGGAGCCAGCCGGCGGGCAGGGATCCGTCAGGCCTTCCCCTTCACCCTCCCCGGCCCCCTTGCACTCGCGGGTCCTGGCAGATAAGCCGCCCCCCGTCCCCCTCCGCGGGCCCGGGCAGGCCCGCCCCGCTCGTCCCCCGGGGGCCTTTACCGGCTCCTTCGCGAGTCCGCAGCCTGAGGCGCTGTGACAAGCCAGCGGGGACGGCCCAGGCCCCGGCTACAGCGTCTCCTCAGAGCCGCCCCCTCCCCGCAGGCGGCGGCCCCGCTCCGGCCCCGCCTACCTCTCGCGAGAGACCGCGGCCCAACCGCTCCTCACCGCCCCACCCGAACCTCCCCAGCCTGAGGAGACCCTCGCCCGGGCCTAGGCCGCCTCCGCCCCTGTCTGACGGGAGACCCCGCCCTGCTACCCGCTACGGGCCCAGGCTCTTCCTGCCCCAGGGCGGTGGAGCGAGCGACCCGCCCCGGCCGCGCCCCCAGCCCTGCCGCCCTTTACCTTCCGCCACCGCCTTCGCCTGGGCCTCCGAGCTGGGTTCGGCGTTAGCCCGGGGAATGGGGAGCCTCGCAGGTGTCACAAATACCCGCGGGGCCCAGCGCCCGGCTCCCTCCGCCGCCTCGGGAAATAGTCCGGCGGGGGGCGGGGAGTCAGTGCTCCGCTCTCGGGGGGGTACCGGGGTTAGTGCCCGATGAGCCGCCTCAGGGTGAGGGGACTCGGGGCAGCCCCGGGTCAAGGAGAGGCGCGGCGGCAACGCCGGCGAGGAGGGATCAGTCCGCCCCCCGTGTCCCCTGAGGCGCTGGCTGAGGAGACCTCTGTCCGGGTAAGGGGGGCACCTCCCTCGTGGGGGGAGACCCTCTGGGAAGAGAGAAGGTGGGGGGCACCCCCCTGCGAGAGGGAGGGGCTCACCTGAAGAGGGGTACACACCCCAGTGAGGGGGACCTCATGGAGTTTCAGCTACTTATCCAGCCTCTGGGGGGACATAGTACAAGGCACCTCCCACAGACACCCCTGACTTGGGGGCTCTGGTTATGGCAATAAAACTACCAGCAAAATGCTCTAGTGTGGACACAGTTTTTAACTGTATTGGTATTAAAATGCTTATACTGGTGGTGTTTATGGAGTTCCTCTGGCTATAGCACTTATGCTGGTATAACCCTGTCTACAGTAGGGCTTTTATTGGCATAGTTATGTTGGTAAAAAAAAAAAAATCACACCCTCTCTGACCAAATAGCTATGCCAGTAAAACTTTCACGTGTAGACCGGGTCGAAGGCCCTGTCTTGAGGGGGTAAAAGGCTGGGAAGGTTTTCCATCGCATTAGCTGAGTCGAGTTGGCTTAACATAGTTGAAAAAAGAACAGGAGTACTTGTGGCACCTTAGAGACTAACAAATTTTATTTGAGCCCACGAAAGATTATGCTCAAATAAATTTGTTAGTCTCTAAGGTGCCACAAGTACTCCTGTTCTTTTTGCGGATACAAACTAACACGGCTGCTACTCTGAAACCTGTCATAGTTGAAAAACTCTCTTAATACCAGTGAGGACACAAATTAACATGTCTGAAGTTGTGCTACAGCCTAAGCTGTCCCTTGAGCAGTTTATCATGGGTTACAGACATGACATTTGCCTTGTCTATATTAGATTTTTCTAGCATGTGCCAAGGTCACACCTTTAAAACCCAGCTCTAGATGAGGTACTGTGCTACACCACCACCTGCCAACAGGGCTTCTTATGTGTTTGCCTACATTATACAAGTATTAACAGGGTTTTTTAGTCAGGTTAAGCTAACACAATTGAAAAACACCCTTGCTCAAAACAGGACCTAAGGGGAAAGGAAGGGCTGCCTCTCAGAAATACACACGCATATCCCTAACCCTTGAAAGAAGACAGGTAAGGCCAGGGTAGTGAGCTCCACCCCAAGAAGATAGCTCTGCACCTCTGGGCTTGCAGTATCAGTTATGAAAGTAAAAAAATTGCTTGAGCCCTGGCACCTCTTCCATTATAAATTAAGCACTGGGTGAGACCCTCCCCTCCTAGGGGAAATGAAGAGGGTACGGTGAAACAGAAATTAGAAAGCTAGTAAGGGAAGGAGAGAGAGTTGGGGGCTAAAAAGAAAATCCCTGCATTTTATGTGACTGCTGATAAAGGTAGAGGTGAAAATGGGAGTGTGTTGGATAGGGGTTAAAATAAAAACTAGGTTTAATTCCCACCTGATGCCTATTTACTGCATCACCTGGGACGAGTCAGTTAACTTCTCTAGCCTTGTGTACACCATGAAAAATAGCTGTTGCTGCTAACTGATATTACAATAGTTGCTGCTGAACATGATTAGATTGCACATGTAGGCAGGAGAAAACTTCAGAACCGTTTCCGAAATCATGGCTAAAACGTATACAAACATCAAATGCAATCTCCGATTCTCCTACCATGATTATCCAGACCCTGTGTACTCTGGCCTAAATTCTCCAGCAGGGTCTTTGGATTCTGCAGTACGCTGGTGAGGCAGACTGGAAACTCATTTAATTTCTCATTAGAGTGCTATGAGCAAAAAATGACCCAATGCCTTGTTCACATTGTGCCAGCTTCTCTTGCATCTTCTCAAATTATCACGCAGGAGTTAACGTGAACAGCTTTTTTGATCAAAGAACTCTGCTTTGCATTTATTGGGTTTTTTTTTTAAACACAACAACCTCGCCCGCCCCCGAAATATCGCTAGCTATCTGTAACTATTCATAGACTAAACATTGTCCTAAAAACTATGCCAATTGCCTCAGGTCAGAAGTTGTTATGCTTGTTATTGACAATAAGTAACATGAATTAATTGGCATTCTCACTAATTCAGTGGTGAATGACTTACTTTATATAGCTTTAAAAATGGGTGACTGACCCATGATGTGGAGTTCTGCCATCTTCCACCTACTATGAATAGTTCATTGTTGGGACTGTGACATCAGAGATAAAAGAGCCAACCCCATTCCCTATTTCATAATTTATTTGCATACTACAATCCTATTGGTTTACAGGGCTCACTTGTTAGTCTTTTTTCATTACAAACCAAGCCTTCAGTCCTGCAATCAACAGCATGCTCCTGGACTTGAACCCATGTAGAGTCAATGGGGCGCTGCATAGATACAGCAGGCCTCCTCTAGGGTACATTTACTCAGCTATTAAAAACCGTGGTTGGCCTAGGTCATTTGACTCAGTCTGCAGGGCTGTAATATTGCTGTGTAGATGTTCAGGCTTGGGCTGGAGCCTGAGCTCTGCAACCCTGCAAAGCAGGAGGGTCCGAGTTAGCTGACCTGTCTAGACAAGTCTGTCTACTGATTGAAAGAATGGGATCTTAATTTGTAATGGTTTTTGAGACTTGCTATGTTAGCGTGGCAAATTTCAATTATTGGGCCACACTCTTCACTATAAGTCTGTTGAGTCAGTGCAGTAAGGATGAAATGAACCCTTTAGTTCATAAGAAACTGAACAAAGATTTGTTAAATAAATTTTTACCATCTGTATTGCATTTCTATCTAAGGTATTACTGAATGCCTCACAGTCTAATGTATTTATCCTGAAATCTCTATGCGATAGGAAACTATGACTATCTGCAATTTAGATAGGGAAATGAGCTGCTGGGGGGGGGGGAAGGATAGCTCAGTGGTTTGAGTATTGGCCTGCTAAACCCAGGGTTGTGAGTTTAATCCTTAAGGGGGCCATCTGGGGCAAAATTACTACTTGGTCCTGCTAGTGAAGGCAGGGGGCTAGACTCAATGACCTTTCAAGGTCCCTTCCAGTTCTAGGAGATAGGATATCTCCATTAAATTTTTTTTTTATTTTATTTATTTATTTTAAAGACTTGCCCAAGGTCACACAAAAAGACTGTGGCAAAGAAGGGAATTGAACCTGGGCTTTCTGAGTGCCAGGCTAGAATCCTAAACCACTGAATTCTCTTTCCCCACAATTTGCAATTGATTTATATGCTAAGGAGAATTAACATAAACTGTTAATAATTGAAAGGATTTCAGCTGCCAAAAGTACAGTCCTAAGTAAGCTATGATTAAAATAATGACTTCAGGGAACAGTGAGTGGGGCTGATCACCCTTGCTTTTAAAATAAAGATAAAAGAGACTGAGCTTTCCCATCACTATTTTTATGATAAGCTGTCACACCACATGAGGAAGCATTTAAACCTCACCCCACCCCCCCAACAAAAAGCAGAGTTCTATACACCAATTTCCAGTGAAGAGTTTTATTAATCTGTAAGTATTTGTTTTATGGACCAATCTGTGTTTGCATTTGTTTTATCCAACTTTTTATATTACATTCATCACTGTGTAACTGATTGCAAATTTAGGCCCCAGTCCTGCAGAAAATTATGCATGTGCTTAACTTTACACATGTAATTACTCCCTCTGAAGTCAAAGGTCTATAAATGTCTGTAAAGCTAAGCATATGCATAAATCTTTGCAGGATTGCAACCACAGTTTTTAAAATATTAATTTATTCAATATAATTTACCTTCTTATATAAAATAATTGTTTCTAATACCTTATTAACCTTAAATTAATAAATTGTAGATATGTCTACATTTAGAATATTTATTTTCTCACCTCTTATCCAGGAATAACTGTTAATGTACATACAGTGGCACCAATCCTACTAACACTTGCACATGTGATTAGTCCTTTTGAATTCAATGTGTAAAGTTACTCTTGTGCACAGGTGTTTGCAAGATCAAGACAAAGGTCAATAAATAGTTTGTTGATAATACTTTAAAATGTATTTTTAAAAATAAAGAGATTCAGAAATGTAAGTAAGGTGTTTATTTTAAAAAAAGTGTTATATTTCCCATAAATTTCACTGGGTGATGATATCATTTGGTAAAAATAGGCTAGGAAGGATTTTTTTTTTCCCCCGATAAATGTCAATTTCACTGTCACACAAATCAACAACAAAAAATATTTCCATCAATAATATTTGAAATTTCCAGAAAGGCATAGTAAGAAAAATGCTGCTTGAAAACTTAGAGTTTGATGTAAGGATATTTACTTAGTATATTCTGATGTTATGTTGATAATTTGTGCATTAATGGCTATAAAGCTTTAACTTCTTGAATCTCAACGTCTATTATCGTTAAATGATTGTCTGACCTCCATAATTTCCCACAACTGTGAAAATTTAAATAGATAAAAATACAAAAAAAAATGCTTAAAACCCATAATTTTGCACACCTGGAAATTTAAAAATTGGTAAACATAGGAAAAATGCTTAAAAAAAATATTCAACACTGAATCCTGCCAAGCCTAGATATAAATCATAAATACACAGTATACTACAAATCAACGTGTTTGCACAGAAATAAATCTAAGACAAAATTTGTATTTTCCATTAAAACAATCACTTGAGCATGGCTAACAATAATGTTTAGCAAAATAGAAATTTTACTTGTACACTTAAGATACAAAGTACTAGAACACAAGTAGTTTCAATAGTCACCAGTATTTTAATAATATATTTTGTGTGTGCAATATATACATAATTAAACAGTTAGTAAACATATACAAGTGTAGCACAAATAAGGTAAATGAGGTATTGCTGTGGATTGTATCTATCGTCATATTCACTATGCCAGTCATAACATTTGCTAGCAAGAAAAAAACTAACTGATTTTTATCAATAGCATTAATTACGCAAATACTTAGCG